GTAAGAAGAGGAGATGTGTTTCTGAGACAGGGGTGGAAAGGAGTAAGAATTGGGTTATGCCTGCTAGAGGGGCAATTAAAATTAATGTCGATGCTGCCTTCAGTAAGGAAAGAGGTAAGGCTGCTGTGGGATTAATAGCAAGGGATGATAAGGGAGGATTTATTGGGGGCCTGGGAAAAAAAATTGGGTTCTATATTAAGGACCGGAGGAGTATATTTTTTGTCTACCAGAATAAGCACAGATATTAAAATATTATGAAAGAAGCGCGCAATAGAGTGATGATGAGTATAAAATTTGTTAATTTTAGAATTGTGGTTAAGGTTAATTATCTCAACCATTTAGTATGTGTTTATTTTATGGGTTGGAAAATGAAAATGTGCGTGTTTTGGTTGTAACGGATTTGGGATTTCCAATGAATCTCGATTTTACTAAAAATATTTTAAGATCAGTTTCATTAGTCTTTTTTAGAATAGTTTTTAACCAGCCAATTAGTTAATGAGTTAACCTCTAGAAATTCAAATTATTGAGTGATTCATAATAAATTTTCTCTCAGAGAGGATATTTTCAACCAGGACATTACATCTCTAATCAAAAGCCACGACATGCTCGTGAACGTAGGACATAAGCTCTTAATTAACAAATAAGCTGTTTCCTCCAATGCATAGCTTCTGCCACAAGAGCAGATGTTACCTTGTATTTCCTCACCCAATCAGCCGCAAGAATCTCTTATCGTGAAACTGATTCGTAGCCTCACCTGAATTTTCCAGGACAATAGGAATCCATGGGTCCTTCTAGAATCTCACATTTAACCCACTGGCCGAATGCTCAAAATAGACTCCAATTTTAACTAGGCCTAGCACAATTAGCACTTAACTGAATTTTTTAAATATTTAATTAGGGATTTGATTTCTCACGATATTTATAGAAAAAGTTTTGTGACCAGTACTAAAATCTAAAATCCCTTTGAAAAATTTATGGTAAGAGAGATTTAAGGCCTGTTTGGGTATCCCAAAACCGTGATTTCAGAAGCACTTTTCCGCAAAATGAGATAATCTCCTCTACATATTTACTTCGTAATCCGTAAAAACACTTCTGAAACTATGGTTTGGTTTCTATCCAAACACACCCTTAGTCCTTATTATTCACAATGAATGTCCTAAGCCCAAAAAGAAAAAAGGACTGCTCCGTACATTCTTACCTTCAATAATGCTAGCCTAAACCCATGATGTATTTTCTCCTTCTTTTTTCTTTTCCTTTTTTCTCCTTTGAGCCTCCACAAATTCACATTTTAAAAAATGTCATTTCTTTTTTTCTAATTATTACTCTTTTCTGTTGTATGAAGACTTCCTACAATGTTTCATGCTAATATAAAATATTTTATTTTGGGATTAATTTTTTCACCTAATATTCTCAACTAATTATTAAATTTTCTAACTACTAACTTTTGATTAACTTTTACTCGAGGGAGTACTTTTCTAATTTTTTTCGTTTTACCCAATTGTTGCGTTTTGCTCACGCTGTATTGGAATTTTTGGCGGTATGTCATGATGAATAAAATTAATGTTGCTGAGTCTGTTTTGCTTATAAAAATTGAATTGATGACTCAGTTTAGCTTTCAATAATCCACCAATATCCATGTTTAATTAAGTTAAATCTTTCATCATGACGGACATTACTAGTTGAAGCATCGCCTTCACATGTTTTTTCTTAATGCCATTTCCATGCCTATCCAATATCTTTCTCTACCTATGTATATATAAAGGGGTAAAGTGCTTAAATGCTCAGAAATATCTAAAGTATATAAGTAGCACTTTGATATCTAAAAGTTTTTTATTTTTATATATTCTGAAAATTTATTTTACAGTTTTTTTTTCATAAAATATTATCTGTCGTTAAGTTTGATTGTTAAACATACAAGTCAAGCCTCATAATTTAACAATCAAACTAAACGGTAGATAATAAGGGACCAGGGTTTTTGTTATGAAAATAAATTTTTAGGATATATAAGAACAAAAAAAAATTTCAGGTATTGGATATTCTTTTGCAGATACTTTCAGGATATTTAATATATTATATATATATACTCCTCCAGATCCTTAATATAGGACCCAATTGTTGAGTTAGTTTTGGTCCTAAATATAAGACCCATTTCTCATATTTATCAATTTTCTCTAAATTACCCCTATAGATACTCCCTCACTATAATCAAGTACAAGAGGGAGAGGAGGTATTAATAAGATGATTATGGTGTTTTAGGAAAAACGCGTCACATTTGTTATAATTAACTAACTTACCTAACTTCCTTAATCTAATCAAATTAGTTAAATGGGTCTTATATTAAGGACCGGAAGAGTATATATATATCCATTTCACTTTGTCCATCACCCCACTTTCTGTTTCTCTCTTTTTTCTACCCCGAGCTTATCCAACGTAACTTGACAACTTGTCCCTTTTTTCCCATCTTTCCACCTTGTCCATTCGTATATCATTTTTTATTTAACTGTAGAACTTGTCGGACATTAAATATTAAATGTTTCCTAATAAATATTCGAAGCTTAATTCATCAAGAAGGTGTCCCAATTTTGTTAGATCCAATCTCTTTTTTAGTTACTAAAGTCTAAAACAGATTAAAAATTTTTCCGTAAAAATATTAAATAATAACTTGAGGTTCATCATACAGGTCCTTTAGTCACTTGTGATTTTTTTTTTCGTGATTATTATTCTTATTTTCTTTGACCCAATTGTTATGTTTTGCTCATGGTTTATTGAAACTTTTGGATTGGATAAATGTCAAGACGAGAAAAAGCAATAATGTTGCTGAATATGCTTTTGTTTAAAAGATTGATTACTCAGTTTATCTTTGAAAAATTCATCAATGTCCATTTACTGAAAAAAAAAAAACATTTGGGCAATAACGGGGTTAACATTTTAATTTGAGAAAAAAATTAGCACTTAATTTTTATCGTTTTGGCTCAATGAAAACTTACTTTATAATCCAGATAAAAAAAACTTACTCAATAAGATATCTGGTATTTAATAAATTGGTTCAGATTAGGAGACAACTACCAGTAATTTTTTTAGAGATTAGGCTATAAAATGTAAGAATAGATTTATTATATGGCTAAAATTAAATAAATTAAGTTATATCAAATTATATTTTTGAAACTGAATTGTAAGCTAATAAAAATTATAAAAAATAAATGATTTTTTTAGTGAAAGCGTATCTTTGATTATTTAATTCTTATACAATTTTATTATGATCCTTTAAATTTATTAAATATTTTTAAACTTATAAACCTTAACTCCATTAGTTTTATTGACAAAAATGACGCCATTAAAATTTTAAATATTAATAAAATATTCTTAAATATTAATATATCAAATATTAATATATTAAGTTTTATTTTTTTTAAAATTATAATTTTTTACGTAAAAAAACTATTATTTCAGAAATACTTGAAAAACTGAAAAATTACTTTATAAAATCGAAAAATTAAACTAGATCCTTGAATAAGGTTACAACTCACCATATGTTACTTGTTTTCCTTGTTTCTTTTTTTTTTTTTTTTTGGGTCATAATAAACTAACTTTACCATTCACGTGGATCAAACAAAGAACTTACTTTTGTTTTGTCAATTTTCCTACAACCTCTGTAAGTATTAACAGAGATATCCCATCAGCCTGTCAATGTCTTTTCTTTGACCGTAGCATCAACCTATGAATTCAACATTGGTCGTTAAAGGGTTTGATGAGGTCTAGTAATTAATTTAAAAAAAATATATTTAGTCTTTTAATATCACACAGTTTTAATTTAATCACTAATTTTAAAAAATATTTTTTTAGTTTTTTCATTTTAAAATTATTAATAAAAAATAATAATATCAAGATTTTAAATGTTAATAAAATATTATCAAATACCAACATATTAAATTTAATTTTTAAAATAACTATAATTGTTATAAAAAATTATCATTTAAGTCTAACAATTTTAAGATTAAAAAACTAAAAGTATACTTTTTAAAGTTAAAAGATTAAAATAAAACTTCAAGTCAAAGAACCAATTGTATACTTTAAACTTAATTCAATAAAAATGACTTATTCATTTTTATTATATTCATTTGTTAGTTGTTAGATTACATTAAATTGTTTTCCATGGCACAATAAGTAAATAATTAATACTCATATGATCTTTAATATAAGACCTAATTGATGAGTTGATGTTAGTCCTATATATAAGATCTATTTCACTTGTCTATAAAGTTTTTTCAAATTAACCCTATTGATATTTTCTTAATTAATAATCAGTAAGAAAAGTAGGAAGAGAATTAAGCAAGATACTTAGAGTATTTAAAAAAATATCATATTAATTAATTTAACTATTAACTAATATTATTAATCTATTCAAATTTGCTAATTAGGTGATCTACGCTCCATCCATTTCAAAATATTATTAATTTCAAACTTCTGTTTTTGTTTCAAAAAAAATGCCCCTTTATAATTTCTTTGATAGAAATTAATGATTTTTACGATCACTTTGTCCTTTGCTTTGAAATATGTAAAGAAATTCAAATATGAAATTAAAAAGTCAAGAATATTTTAATAGAATATTATTAGGATAAAAATCTTTTTCTGGAACGAATAAACATATAAAAATAAAAGAATATTTTACAAAAACAATAGAGTGGAAATCCACCGAATGAAATAAGCATACGCATTATTTTCAAAAAGCAAAAAAAAAAAAAAAAAAACATATACCGTAGAACTGTGGAAGTCTACCAAATGGGCCATCAGCGTACCTCCAAAATTTATTGCGTTCCCTCCTTCCTTAATCTTCGCGGACTGCCTTCTCAATTCTCACTTCTCAGTTTTTCACGTCCTTCGGAAATGTTCTCACTCAAATCCCTGACTTTTTTAATCAATCTTTAACGGCCTCTTCAAAATCCGCGTCCAATTCAACTTTCCTCCTTCCTGTTCCATCTCTTTACCTCCGCCCATCGCCCATGCCTACCCCTTCTTCTGATTCTCCCAAAACCGACCCACCCACCTCAGGGTCCCCGATCACTGGGCTCACTTCTACTTCCCCGGCTTGGAGTTTCCGTGGCACGCCTGAATTCAATTTCGATTTTGATGGATTCTTGACCACAGAATCGCCCTCTTTATTGAATGAGACTTGGTTCTCGGTGGATAGAAAAATGACTGCAAAGCCTGGTGCTCCTAGTATGGGTGGATTGGACGATCAAGGAACGGGTTTGAATTTGGGTTCCACTGGGTTGAAGGTCTTGGAAACCGACGAAAAGGTTGAGAAAGCGATCATTTTGAAGGAACCCAACTCGAAAATATGTGAGACTGCGTCATTTACAGTTCAAGACCGATCAAGAACGGATTCGTCGAGTTCTGGGTCGAAGGAAAAAGCAGTCTTGTTTGATAGTTCGGGACGTGAGGGAGATGATCGGCCCAAACGCTTCTTGAATTGGCAGTCAGAAAAGAATTTACTGAAGAGAGCGTTGGATTCTGTGAATCATGAAGACGATAAGACTGGGAAGGATGGGCCCAGCGAAGAGAATAGTAGTGCTAAACGCACTAGAAAAGAATGCGCATTGAATTTGGACTTGGAAAATGAAACACAAAATACTACTATTCACACAGTAAAAAAAGAGTTTATGAATTCGGCTGATTGTTTACCATTGGATTCTGATGGAGTTGATGAAAGTGGTATGGGAGAGTTGCGTGGTGACAACGAAAAGGGCATTGTTACTGCAAGTATGAATGAAGCACCCAATTGGGATGATAATGGTGATGGTGTTCAAAGGAGATTCAGCAGAGAAGAGAAAGGGAAGGGAGTATTGGACAATGGCGATTTATTCCGCAACGTTTTTCATGAATGTCATTTAGGATTAGAATCGGAATCGATCAATTTGATTGATATCGAAAATTTAGATGCGTCACATTTAGCTTGTAATGTAGATTTACAATATGAAAAACAATGGAGAAATGCTAACAGGGCTTCACGGAGGAGGGAACTCATGGAAAATTTCCGGGATATAGCAAAGGCAATGCTGCTCACTTTGCTCGTTTTACACCAGCTGAAAAGATGTTCATGCTTCTACCAAGGCTAATATTGAAAATGAAATTGAAGAATGGTCTGGTCCTTTCTCCACAGCCACGAAAACAATTAGAAATCGAGGAATGAAAAGTAGGCAAATGAGCTGCAACTCTTCAGAAAATTTACCTGCATCCATTAATTGGGCTCCTAGGAGTAATCAAGAGCAAATACGTGCTAGAGTCTCGGCTCCCTCGCTGCAAGAACTATGCCTTGATTTACTTGCCAAGAATGCTGATGCAATTGTTTCTCTTGAAAACGTCCCAGATGCTCTGAAGCACCAACTTTGTCAGTTGGTCTGTGATTCTCGAAAAATGAACAGTCGCTTTTTGGAACTTCTTCTTACTGGATCCCCCACAGAGATTCGACTAAGTGATTGCTCATGGATGACTGAGGAACAGTTTATAAAAGCTTTTCAATCATGTGACACTGCTAATCTGGTGGTATGTTCTCTAAATTATTTGATACTCAAACTTTTCAGTATTTTGGATATTGTGTCATTTACTCAGGTTTCAGTATGTTCTTTGAGTATGATCTTTAACTTGCATCGCAGAATAACTAGGGGGTTTCTATAAACATGAAAATAATGTTTGTTCTGTATTGAGAGATGTTGGAGGTATTTGGCTGTCACAACACCCCCCCCCCAAAAAAAAAAAAAAACACTCACGCAAAAGCGTGCATACATAGGATTGTTTTATGTGTTATGATGGGTGCTGAAAAGGCTTACTTGAGCTTTGTTACCAATTTCGTTTTGGCTTGGCATAGGCAGTGGATGTGATTTAATTTAACTCTTGTCCTTCAGCAACTGTATTTCTGATAATCCGTTAAGTGGCTAACATACTGAAATACTCATATGGTGGGCTTCAGCTTTTAAGAATAAAAAGATAATCTTAACTTTGATTGCCCTTCAAATAATTTGGTTTCTGGTCAATATTGGATGACTCCCTTTCAATTAGTGCCCATGTTCACTATACTTGACTCAACTCGATTGATATCATTATAAGTATCACCTTTTCACTTGATTTGAATTGTAAGCGATCTTTGAAATAGTTTATTCATTTCACCTGTGGAATAGGTGTTGCAACTTGATCAGTGTGGCCGCTGCACCCCAGATCACGTGGTACTTGCTACTTTAGCACGATCACCAAACCAGTTACCTAGACTAACTAGTCTGTCCCTCAGCGGTGCATGCCGTCTTTCAGACAAGGGGTTGCATAGTCTAGTTTCTTCCACTCCGGCTCTTAGATCGATAAATCTTAGCCAATGCTCCCTTCTCACATCTCTCAGTGTATTTGTTTTGGCTAATTCATTAAGATCACTTCTTAAAGAGTTGTATCTTGATGATTGCCCCAACATTAATGCTGCACTAATTGGGCCAGAACTGCAGAACTTTGAACATTTAGAAGTCTTGTCAGTGGCAGGCATCCAAACTGTTTCTGATGATTTTATCAAGAATTTTGTGACTGAACGCGGTCATAATTTGAAGGAACTTGTCTTGAAGGATTGTGAGTGAGTACCGTTTGTGCCAGTCTATTTAATTCAATGTGTTAAATCTGAATGTCTGCTTACGTTGTGATTATTGTCAGAAGCTGTTTGTTTCTTAAATGTTTGATTTCTATTTGTTGATGCGTAGAAAATTGACCGATTCATCAGTTAAAATTATTGCTCAATTCTGTCCTGGATTATGCTCACTTGATCTCATGAACTTGTGCAAATTAACGGATTCATCCATTGGATATCTTGCAAATGGGTGCCGAGCGCTTCATACACTGAGACTCCGCCGCAATCAATTCAGGTTTTGCCCCTCCTCTCTTTTCTCTCTGTGTTTCATCATCATCATCATTTTGCATTTGGTAGGCTTCATATGTTAACCTGACGTTTAAATTTTGACCATGCACTTCTTATTTATGCTTTGCCATTCTTGTCTGTCACTGTTACCAATTTGCTCATTTACAGAGTTGACTCAGATGAGTTTCTAGCTTGTTAAAGTTTTAGGACAGTTTTCTTTGCTTCCATCTGCATGTACCGTTGGAAATCTCTGAATTGCCATTTAGCTTTTCATATGTACTAAGGAAATTGAAAACATCTTGTATTCATCTTTTGTTTTGGGGAAAAAAGACCAGAAATATATACTACTATACTAGTACTACTTCCAGTTTTTAATATAAGATCCAATTGACTAATTTGAAAAGATTAATAAAGGTAAATATATTGGTTTAAAGTATTTATAGTAATTATTTCTCTCCAAACTAATTTATCTGACTTATAGATTGATATATAATTTAATGATGCATATAAATATTTTAGAGAGATTGCGTAATATACGCTATAAACAGATAATTTATTTAGTTTCCTTAATCTCATCAAATTAGTCAACTGTGTCTTACATTAAAAATGAGAAGTAGTATTTTATTAGCATGCAATGTCTATGTCTCCAAAGAGTTGAACAAATTGAACATCTTTTGTATCTCAGTGATGAAGCCATTGCGGCTTTTCTGGAGACCACGGGAGTGTGCTTGAAAGAACTTTCACTCAATAACGTGAAAAAGGTACGTTTTTTCCCTCCTGTCTCCAAGCCTCCTTTGGCTGGCATGCACATGGACCCTCCTCCGCTGATAAGGCTGCTTTTTGGTAATTGGTAAACGCATTGGTTCATCAATCCATGTTTATTAATCATCAATATAATCAAAATCAATATAAAATTTACGGAAATCCCATTGCTCATGAGTCATAAGCAGTGGTGCCACTTTTCTTGGGTTATCGTGTGATTTTTCTTTTTATATATATATATTTTTAGTATTTGTCAAAGCCTTTCACTGGGCTCCCTTCCTCGTACTGTTGTTAAGTTGATCAATGTGAACCAAGGTTTGATTATATGGTTTACGCGTGACAGGTTGGCCATGACACAGCCTTGTCCCTTGGCAGCCGTGCAAGAAATTTGCATACTCTGGACCTATCATGGTGCAGAAATTTCACAGATGCTCATTTGGGCTTCATCGTCGATAACTGCTTGTCGCTGAGACTGCTTAAAGTATTTGGATGTACCCAGGTCCTATACTATTTACAAGACGAGCGTTGCATAATTTATAATTCGATTGACTGCTATTTTATTGGAAAAAATGTGTTGAAAAATTTAATTTTAAGATAGATGAATATGGAGCACTTGCTGCCTTATTGGATTTCACCGAGTTGATGTATTATAGAGAATAGATAAACAATTCATCGGAGAGGACATTTACATGTTGAATATTTTTGCAGATAACAGAAAATTTTCTGTTTGGCCACTCAAATCGGGAGGTTAAGATCATTGGTTGCGTTATGTCTCCTTTACTGCAACATGTCATAGTGGCTGATCCTGAACGGCAGGGTGCTTTGCGTTATTCTCCAGCCACTTGATGAAAAATAGGAGTGGCCTGTGACATAACCAGAACTACAAACTTGAACTCGCACAGTAAAAACTCTTCATTACCGTGGCTCTAACTGAAGAGTTCTCCTTGACTTATAGGTTGTCCTTTCTGGTTCCTCCCTTGTGTAAATGCTTCTCCATGATTGACTCTGTCACTCTATTGTTCTATTTGCAGGAGTAGATTTTGCCTTTTAGGCTTTTACATAAATTTTATTTGGTCCCAGCCCAGTCAATTGTATAAACTAATTATCTTTCTCTCTCTGGAAAGTATCATAATCTGCCAGTGATTCTTCATATTCAGCATATTGAGTGATATTGATCACATACACAAAAGAAGGAAACGACATATAAAAAGAGCAAGTAGAAAGCGGAGGTAAGCACTAGGGTTCTGATTACTATTGGGGTTGCAATATATGTTTTTGTTCTTCTCTGGAGATTCATCCCGAGCGTGACACTCGTTGCTTTCTTGAACCTGTGAAAGCATACACTTGTTTGGTCTTTCTGAAACTTGATTCAGGAAGAATACAGACTGACAAACCATTTTCCTTTACAATGGAGAAAAAAGAAATGAAAACCTAAATTACAATACAGACTATAGCGCTATACCTCCCAACAAGTGCGGAGAGAGAGGAGGTACAGCCGTTTGAACTTTACAGTTGTTCAGAAACAAAATAATGCAGAGTATTTATGTCTGTAGACGAAGCAAGAATAGTTGTTCCTTCGATAATTGAGAATTTGCCATATCAACCATCTGAAAAGGCGAAGGAAGCTGCATTACTGCTTTTTGTAGGGAAGGAATACTCTTAAAGAGATCAGTGCAAGAAGTAGAAATGATTGTGTTGAGCTTACCTCAAAGCCTATCTTTTGGTACAAATTCTGTGCAGTTGTGTTATTTCTGTCCACGTGAACGAATACTTGTTCCACACCTGCTCAATAAATCATGGAATATACGGTAAGTTCTCTTTCATGATTCACAGACATATCATCAGTCAGTTGTATACTATAGGAGTCAAATTACTCTCCAACTTTAAAACTACCATTAGTTTTTGCTGATGCAACAGCATAGTACAACATGTTGCTTGCAATGCCCTGACGACGAGCTGATTTCGCAACACATACGTTTGCAATGTAGCCATATCTGCTCGGTGCTGTTCTGTCGATGCTGCAAAATCGAGGAGCCTTAACCCGTTCCTGCACAAATGAATACATCGAAGTTATGGAACTTGGTACATTGTCATGTCATTTCCCCTTCCATGGTGCCGGGATGAATGCAAGGGTATAAGATTTGGTGCATGCTTGGTTATCCGTTGGAGTAAATGACATTAAGAAAACTCAGTTTAAACATCCGGTTTTGCAAGAGCGACCTTCTATTTGCCTCGGCAAAACGACTAAGGTGTCAAAATTAAGACAATGACATACCAAATGCCTCAGAGCATCAAAATCCGTCTAGACAGGTCAGAAGACGTAGTTGTATCTCAATAAGAAGGAAGTACTATACCCCGGGAAAAGTCTCTCCCTGCAGCAAATATCGGATATTCAAATCAAGCGTTCCTACGACGCTCTTCAATATCGGGCGTTTTACATTCTTATGCTCCTTCTTCACCTGATAAACTTGACTCCAAACAATGTAAGGTTAAACGCACACATTCAGGGCTAATCATTACTTTGCATAAAATCAGCGCAATATTAGTAAATTGCAGCCTTTCATTTTCAACTGATTCAGAAGATATGATAATTTTTACCGCAATAATGCATGTGCATTTCTGCTCATTTTGCATTTGGCACCGCTTCTTTAGTGCATTAAATTCCTAGGTAATAGGAAGCCCGTCTTTAGAAATTCATGAAAGAAATCTCATTGTACATAGTTTAACAATGAACAAATTTATTAGCACAAACCCCTACCTGGTCTGCAAATCTCATTTTGTAATTATGAATGTGTCTGAAAAAAGCATAGCAAGATTCAGTGCATCCAACTTTTCACTATAATTCAAAGCAAAGCTTGAATTTATTTAATATCCATCTTGATTTTAGTTGATTGTGAGCTTTTAGAAAAGTAACACAAGTGATCTCTAAACTCGTCATTGTTCTTTTCACGACGCAAAGGTGCTACCAATCCTATCCTATTAATAAATGAAACTTAATAAATGAAAGTTGAAAGTGAAAACTAAGGACGCTTATGAAAGGATCATTCTTATATACCGGATGTCATGGCGCGCAAGCGTTGGATTCTCACAGTGACTTTCTGCCCTTAACCAGGCTGCTGTCTGCCGTAGCATTAAAAAAATCGCAAAAATAAATCAACATGTACAAAAGCAAGCGAAAACTCCATCAAGCTCCATAATATAGTTTCAGGCTTTCAGTTTCAATTCATGACATACCCAATACTCTTCATCAAGCACGGCATCTCGAGCAACAAATTGGCCAAACTCAAGAATCTTATCTCCAACCAATTCATGATCCGAGGGTTGCAATCGATCGAAACGGAGATCGCCAGACCTTAGAGTTTCCACCTTATGAGCGGGTGGCGTTGAAATTGAAAGCTGCATTGACAGGTCTTCCATGGTATTCTTCATTCCGCTACTGAAGTTTTTAGGATCTCTCATTGTCCTGTGGACGTTAGAGAGATAACAGAAACCACCTCTGATTAGCTTCGAGCAACAAGATCATCTCAGAATAAAATAACATAAAATTCAAGCAAACAGAAAATTGAAACTCACATAGTCCACGAAGCAGCGATTCTCGGGAAACTGTGGCGAATCGGATGCCCATTGACGAAACCTTCAGAATTCAATCTTTGAATTGAGATTGTGGACATAGGAGGCATGCTTCCAGATTCAAGGGTTTACAGTACCGGAAAAAGGAAGGCTAATATTTTGTTCGTAAACCTCGAATAGAAGGAATGATTCTAGTGATGGAGAAGAAACTAATGCTCCCGTATTGATACAGGGGCCAAGCTGATAGAAATCAAAAGGCGGAAAGCTGAATACAGAAAGCATGCGCTTCAAATCCAAATAATCCAAATCAACAGAGAAGTAGCGATTGATTTTCCATTGCGGAGAGAGGAAGGGAAAGAGAGTTGACGTAATCGGAAGGGTGTGAGTGCGACAGGCAAGAGGATAATGGATAAAAGACGGATCCTCTCAATCGTTTGGTTGCGAGATATTGGATATGGCTGATTTTTATGCGAGAGACTGCCAAAGTTCCGCGCTTTCAAGCCACAGAGGCAACCCATTTATTTATTATTCCAACAGCTAATCCAACTATAAAATCCCTTTTTTTATTCTAAACAAAGAAAAAAAAAATACCTCCGGTCTTAATTATAAGAGTTGGTTGATTAATTTGAGGAGATTAAAAAAAATTAAGTTAGTTATTTGTCATAAATAGGTGTTATCTTTTCTAAAATATTCTTGTCAATCAAGTGTGTTGATTAGAACTACCATTGTAAAAAGGACTATCTTAAAAAAATACATAAATATTAGAAATAAAATGGATTAAGATCTTATATTTAGAACCAAAATAAAAATCAAATAATATCTTATATTAAAAACCGGAGGTAGTAATAATCATAATTAGAATAATTATTTGAGAACATGGGTTTTTGACAACAAAACCAGCGGCAAAATCTGTCCCATGATAAACGCCACTGAAAAAGTTAAGATGTCGGCATCCCAATTTTTTTGTTTTCTTATTTTCCTTTTGTTTAATACTCGAGCACACGCATATATTATATATTAAAAAAAATTAAGAGTATGATAAGTACTCATTGAATGGGTGATGGACAAACATCATAATTATGCTGTAATTAATACTAGTGCTGATGTTACTCAAGCCCACAAGGGGACCTGTTTTGATATAGTAATTTAATTAAGTAATCAGCTTATCATGTTTGGTTGGTGAGATTTTTGCCATTATGAGTTCTTTGAAATATTTCCTTGCAAACATATACTATGTCCATACAATAAATAAAGTTTTTACCTTCTCTTTAATAAATTAAAAGGATATAACTCACATCTAACTCATTCTTACCACCCTCAAAAGAATTTTCACGAGTTAAAAGCATCAAAAACAATTTTTGCATTAAATTCCGGATACCAATTGCCAATGTAATCATAAAAGGCTAATTTTTAGGGAATTTTAGACCAAGCTTCTGATAAACTTTGATTTAACTCCTTGGAGTTCCTGTCATACCAATTAAAATCCTCAAACCCAAATGTTCCGACCTACTTCATCAGAACATAAACGATGTTGTAAGTAACAAGAAAGGAGCAGCACATGACTGATTTCTTCATTCTCAAAGTCAAAACCTACCAAACTCAATTCAAATTCAAAATACTAATATGATGAGAGAAAAGTCACATTGGTAGCTTCTCACACAAGTAAAGGCCACACCCATTAGTGATCCGCATGAACAATACCAATAGGCCATTGGGAACAAAACACCAATCAAACATAGGAACATCAACCACTCCTTAAAAGGGGGGGGGATACTGTACATCTCAAGAACATGATCATTAGTTGCGGAGAAGCTAACTAATAATAAAGGCAGGCTCTTTCAAGGTTCAAATTCAGTCTTCACCCACTGTCCATGCTTGCTCTTCATTTTCTCATCTAATTCCTTGGCCTTCACTTCCGCCATCTTGTTCGCGTTTGCCATCGATTCCTCCTGAACTCTCGCCATCCTCTTGCTTCTTTTCCTCGCCGACGCCTCGTTCTGTGCTCCCAGTTCTTGGTAATCCTTCACCCAGCAGTTATGCACTGCACAGCTCAGCACCAGAACCACTATCTGGAGCATCAGAATGGCCATGAGAGCTCCACATTCCAGCCTCACCAGGAGCTTCGCTTCTTTTGGGTCGCGAGGCGACTTGAAGAGGGAGAGGCTCGCTTTCTCCTTGGTGAACAGGGCGAGGATGCTTAGGACCAGGGAGACCAGGGAGGCGAGGAGGAGGGAGGTGTGGGTGATGAAGCAGAAATGAGTGAGGTGAGAGTAGAAGCCGATGAAGGAAGAGAGGAGGGAGATTGCAGAAACCAGAAGGAAGGCCATGCCGAAAGAAGTCGGAGGCATGCGGAGGAGGACGGTGGGAGCAACGGAGCAGGCTGAGAGAATGAAGAGAGTGAAGTTGAGGCAGGAAAGGAGGAGGCCTGTGAAGGAGCAGGAGTTTCTTCTGAGCTTGGAAGAAGAAGCCATTTGTTTGTGATTGTGTGGTGTCTGAGAGGTTCTCGGTTTGATTTGAAGGCGAAGAAGGACGAAGGAGAATTTGGATTTATAAGTTAAGTAATTGAAAATGTAGCCGTTGGGGGCTCAATGTAACGGCCAAAATAAAGGGCGCACTTTTATCAACTTTGATGCTGTCAATCTTCTTTGTATTTCCCTCTTGAGCCTTTCAAACCATGATGCCTGCACCTATGGCCCAGACGCAACGAGTATTTTGGGGAATGGGGACTAGGACCTTCTGTTGGTGGGGCATACCGTGTATGCCCCTGAGGCTAAAATCATTTCATACGTAAGTTTTTTTTTAATTACATTTAATAAAAAAGTGAGAATTATTCATATATTTTTGACTAATTGTATTATTTAGAGTTTTTAAATTCACAACTTCTACATGCTATACGCCATTCTGCAGATCATATCATACATACACGTGTGTGTGTGTGTATTTTGTGTGTGTGTGTGTTGATCGATGTAAAGGTGGGGATATGAAATTTTCAGGTTTGTTAATACTTCAAAGGATAGAAAATTTCAATTAGTCTAATTGCAAATTTGTATTTGTAAGTTTAACACAGAAACTACTTTTTACTCTTAGCCTTTAAATCAATGAAAATCAAATTCTATCGTGAACACGAACCGTTATTTCAATTCCTAAATTTATATGAAGAAACAAATACTTGCTTCCTTCATATAAGCAACAAAATAAGTTTAACTTCTGTCAACATATACAATATCGCACACTGTTATAAACATTTTAATTCCTTGTTTCCTAAAAATACCGCTTAATTATCTACTACTATCCACAACTAGAGTAATTGTATTTTCCAATGTAATTACTACCCAACTAATACTCATCTAATTAATGAGAATAAAAATGAAAAATATATTCTCTCACACACACAAATAATTTTTAATATGTGGACATTGCCTTATCCTTGCCCCTGGTTTTAGGTACCTGGAGTAGCATTAAGGTAGGGCATCTAAATTTTCGAAGGTTTACCGGACCAGACCAATTTTTCTTGCATTTTTTTTTTTTATCCGCTTCCCCCTTGTACAGTTGCACCTAAATTGCAGCGTTCCCTATGGTATTAAATTTACACTTCTTTTTTGCTAAAATGGAAAAAAAAAAATCCATAATTCCACAAATTCGGAGCAAGTTGACGGTTTCCACACTTCATTTCGATATCCAAGAGAACACAGGCATTGCGTATTCAAAAGAACTTCGATGATATTAAAGGTTTATGTCACTAAATAGCAACACAGTTAATAATTCACCAAGACTAAATTAAACACAAGGTAAAATGCCGAAGATCATAATAAGAAAATTAATCAACTTTTCATGGCGAGAGAAAAATAATCAACTTCAGAATGAGATTGTCAATAAAATATCCAAATAAAGCCTCATTCACAAAATATCATTTCTTTTGATAACCATATTTTGGGTTTTCAATTTTCATATAATGGTCAGTGACAGTAATAAGATCGCTAGTATTGGTTCTCTTGGTCTCCAGGCATAATTCAGAATGAGGGGATAAGCCGCAGTGCTTTAAAAAAAAAAAACAATAAAAAATATCTTCTAAAAAAACTAACATTAAAGGTGGAGGAGACATTTCGTTCCTGAGTTGGTTTTGCACAGACACAGAAAAACCCACACATTGATATATACCAAACCCTAAAAAATTGAATCATGTAAGGATAAGATGTAAAGACCAAAGAGTTGACACACTTTTCAAAGACCAATAAGGGTATCCTCTTCAAAGTTCAAATTCCTTTTGCCATTTCCCTCATCACAGATAAATCTTGCTTTGCCCATTGTTTGCTATGAGGCAGAGCCAGTGTGAGATGCATCGAGGTCCTCTGCATTTAACAAATAAATGCATGGTATGCATTCTGAAGGAGATAACGTACAGCATAAACGTGTGTGTGTGTGAGAGGGGGGGGGGGGGAGGGAGGCAGATAGGGAGGGAGGGGGAGAGACCCTCTCTAAGTTTCCACTCTTTTATGTTACTCTTGAATAGGGGTTGCATTACAGGAAAAAGATCTAAATCAACCATATATGATATGCCAAAAGTAGGTGCTCAGGAATAGCTAAGAAACAAGCACAGACCATGATGTACAAATAAATGGGGGGTTTGCTAGAGTAACTAAAAGCCTTGCAGTATCTCAAAGTTTAAATCAAAGATGAAAATGCAGCAACATTACAGTCAATCACACAAGTAAAGGCCGCTGACAACATAATTAATTAGAAACCGTGCAGGCACTTCAGGCCCTGCACGGGTGGGAGGGTGAATGCATGCACATTTGACAACCATAAGAACAACTATGTTCCCAACCATCAGTCTTACCTTCCTTACCACCACCTAACAATATATATCAGAACCAGCAATAATTTGGAAAGGATGATGAATGATGAACACTTCTCAATTGTCGATAACTAGATTTTTTTGATTCTCAAGATAATGAAACAATGCATATTTTTTATCAACCCAAAAATTAAAAAAAAACCAAGGAGAAGAAGAAAGAAAGCATACTTGATACAAGGAAGCATACTCATAAATAAACTTTGGCTCAAATTTCTTGAAAGTTCAAAAGAACGAGATCTGAGACATTGAAAAATTCATCTTCTAGTATTAAATATGCGTTCCATGTCCTGTTAGAGGATGTTGCTACAATTTACTGACCCATATAGTGGAGCATCTGATAGAGTCCAATATCAGGGGCAGTTTACAAATTAGTTATTTTCAGTTATTTGTAATCTTCAATTTTAGGTGGTTATATTCAGTTATCCTTTGAGACTATTACAGTGGGATTATTTAAATATTAGTTATTGTCAGTTATTGATAATCCTTATCCTAGAATGTAGGAGGTTATTAGGAAGTTACTAGTCAGTTATTCTCAGTTATGTTTTCAGCCTATTTAAATCTATTGTACGATGACATTAGGTGTGAATGAAGTATATTATTCAGGAATTATTCAGGAATTTCCATCTTCTTCTCTCCTAGGATTTCAGATACTGATTCTAGGCTCTCTCTCTCTCTCTCTCTCTCTCTATAACACACATCTCTCTCCTACCTTCTCATCTCTTCTCTCCCCTCTCTTCCCTTCTATCTCCCCATTCTTATTCTCTCTTTTGCAGAATCTAACATTTTGGTATCAGAGCCCAAACTTTCTGGACCTGTTGGGATATTATGGTGAACACACGCCAATCAAACACTAACAATGTGCCTCTCCTGCCAAATCCTAACCCCTCTCACAGTGTGTCTACACCCACCAATTCTTCTGACCTTCCCTCTACAGAACTGCTTTCCCAACAACTATCAGCCATTATGGCCAAATTAAATAATTTAGATACAGAAATGACTACTTTGAAGCAACAGAAGTCATTTCAAGCACCTAAAGGAAACCAAAGCCATAGTGGGAAACAGATTCATGAAGTTGATGATGAAGAACATGACAACCTTTGGTGGAAAAAGAATCCTTCTAAACGCCCACACTCTAAAGTAGAATTTCCTAAGTTTGAAGGAGGTGATCCTAGAGGCTGGGTTATGAAGGCAGAAAAATATTTCAGGTATTATCAAACACCTGAAGACCTTAAAGTTGATGTGGCAGCCATGAACTTAGAAGGTGATGCACTAGATGTTTTTACATGGGTTTCTTCTGGAAGATCTATCAATTATTGGGATGACTTGATTCAAATTTTTCAAGAGCACTTTGGCCCTGCTGAATTTCAGAATCCTGATGTGTACCTTTGTAGCATCAAAAAATTGGGTTCCGTGCAAGAATATAGGCAGGAATTTGTTAGAAGGTCTTCAAGAGTGCATGGATGGCCTGAGCATTGCTTATTAGGTGTTTTCATCAATGGTTTAAAGGAAGAACTGCAGTCAGATGTTAAAATTCAGAAACCCCGAACTGTTTACAAGGCTGCAAGCTTGGCTCTTGAATTTGAAGCCAAGTTACAAAATCAGAATGTGAGTCGTTATGGACAGCGATCTGGAGTTACATGTGGCAGTGAGAGCAGTGTCAATTTCAAGGAAGATAAAGACGCCAACATTCCCAGGCTGTGTTCAAACTCTGCTCTTGTGAACGCACCAGTTGTTATGTCAAGTTTCAACACCCAAAAGCAACTATTACCAACTACTACTGGAACTTCCCAAAGAATGACCCACAACGCAACAATTTCAGACCATGATAGGAAGTTTTTTAGAGACAAAAGGCTGTGTTTTAAGTGTGGAGATAAATTTGTCCCTGGGCATAAGTGCCAACCTGCTTCTCTCAAACTCATGGAGATTACCGAGGAAGTGGAAGACCCTCATCTAAGAGCCCCAGATTCGAACCCATCATTAAAAGCTACCCAATTTCCACATTTTGCCTTGAGGACAAGGCGTATTTCCTAGGGGAGAGTAATGATAGAGTCCAATATCAGGGGCAGTTTACAAATTAGTTATTTTCAGTTATTTGTAATCTTCAATTTTAGGTGGTTATATTCAGTTATCCTTTGAGACTATTACAGTGGGATTATTTAAATATTAGTTATTGTCAGTTATTGATAATCCTTATCCTAGAATGTAGGAGGTTATTAGGAAGTTACTAGTCAGTTATTCTCAGTTATGTTTTCAGCCTATTTAAATCTATTGTACGATGACATTAGGTGTGAATGAAGTATATTATTCAGGAATTATTCAGGAATTTCCATCTTCTTCTCTCCTAGGATTTCAGATACTGATTCTAGGCTCTCTCTCTCTCTCTCTCTCTCTCTCTATAACACACATCTCTCTCCTACCTTCTCATCTCTTCTCTCCCCTCTCTTCCCTTCTATCTCCCCATTCTTATTCTCTCTTTTGCAGAATCTAACAGCATCCTTGGAGGAATGAAGGTTATACCTGGTATACTTTCTCTTGTTGTTATCGCCTCTTCTTTGCTTGAATCAATCAGCATCACTGTGGGTTAAGATGGCCTCAACTCTATCAAGTGATGCTTGTAATCGTCCTGAGTTCATGTTGAACAATGGCTCACCAGTTCCCAGAGCTCTGTTCAAAATTGATCTCAGAGTCATATTTGCAGATGATGAATGAATGTATCTCAGATTTTAACAATACAATCGTTAGCATCTCCTGGAGAAGTGTAAAAGATTGTAAAACTTGCCCAGTAAGCTCTGGAAGAACATAATCTGCCCTCCATCCAAACCGGAAATCAAAGCCAGGAAACAAGCCAAGAGTTGTCTTGTTTCGAATCCGCGAGACACCATCCCCACCCAAACATGTCGTAAGCTTCCATTTCCACCCAGTAGCATGCATCTGAAAATTGTGTCCCACACCAACCTGCACTGTTCATATGGTTAAAACACTATAATGATATTATGAAGCAATCACATTATTGTGATGTGCCACGGTTGAAGTCAATACATACTCTCCCAGCACATCCAATGTTATATTTAAAATTATGCTAGACACATTTCACCAATCAACATAGATATAGCAATTTAGTCAAGAAAATGAACAAATTTCATCATCATCAAACCTGGAGATTCAGAAATTTGGTTATTGGGATCTTCTTCGAGAGGATGCGAACGTCACGATGAATAGGCTCACAAATAAATTTCCACTTCCATTCAGGTGCCAAAGGTTTCAATACAAGCTTTGCTTGATATTCATTGCATGGAGCATTGTAGAACTGCACCAAAATAGTATCTCAACAAATTAGAAACTAGCAAGTACCATAAGATTCACTAGTCACTAGAAGATCCGAATCATATAAGCTGAGAAGATCTAACTAAGTCTTAGGAACCGTTGAAAGCAACAGAAGATGCACGAAGAGTACTCAAGGAACCAATCCGTAAAATAACAACAAGCCTTATCCCATATGCATCCCACATATCAACAATTAAATCTTTAAATAGGTTCAACCAAAACGTCTAAACGCGTAAACTTATAACAATTTTTAGCACCTCACTCAATGGATATTTGGAAATTATAAGAGAAACGTGTCCCTCAACACCATGAACGCTCCCAGCGAACAAAGAAATTCGGATATCGAATGACGCAAAACAAAAGCATGTTTACATGTCTCGCAAAAGAACAATCCTTACATTGCGTTACTGTAATATTGGATGAAAATGCAGTAGCAAACTCACTTCGACCTAGAAACCCTTATCCGTTGAGCCAGAAACGGAACAAGTAAGCGCTTGGCAGCGTGATTATGCATCGTTTCAACTTCAGGAAATTTTTAACACCAAACGAAACAGTAATTCACTCGCAATTTAAGTTGAATCGTCTATAAAAATAAACTCGAACTGTCCGATAATCGAAAAGTTCCTATTACCTCCATATTAAGACCAACTCGAAAACCTTGTGTCTCCTTCCGGAACTTAAGGAAGAACTCCGACGGCATCAAATTGATATTATATAGCTCATCCCACGAAGTGGATTCTTCCATGCTCGAGCCCGATTCCATATCGAACAAGCAGAGCTGCAGAATCAACTCAATATAAAGCGAATTTCTCTTGGGGATGAAAAAAAAAATTTTGAATTTTGATTCTCGTTGTCCATACTTCTAGCTTTGAACTTATCAGAAGAGATAAAAGTTTGATGCTTTCACGATATCTGCTATTTCCGCACGGAGACGCCCGGTCTGGTGCCTTAACACTAATCCACCGAGCGATTGTCGAGTCCGAAGTCGTTAAGATTGCAAAAGAGAACTTTTCTTATTAATTATTAAATCGGTTCTACCGTCTTTTTTCTCCAGCATTAAAAACTTACGCAGTGCATCTGTTTTCAACAAAATTACTCAATTCCTATAATTTTGTAAAACCAAATCAAGTCAATATTTCAAAAGATCAATAATAAAAAAAAATAAGGTGATTAAATACTACTCCTCCGGGTCTTAATATAAGACACATTTAATTAATTTGATTAGATTAAAAAAGTTAAGTAAGTTAGTTAATTATAAGAAATATGACATGTTTTTCCTAAAACACCATAATCATTTTTCTTAATACCCGCTCTCCCTTTTTTACTTGATCATGATTGAGGGAGTATCCATAAGGTTAATTTAGAAAAAACTGATAAATATGAGAAATGGATCTTATATTTAAGATGAAAATCAACTCAATAATCAGGTCCTATATTAAGGACCAAAGGAGTACATAAGTATTCATGAATGAGTACTTAGTATCTTAAAGTTTTTCTTTTTTTGCTCTTATATCACCGTTATCTGTTATTATGTTTGACCGTTAAATTATATAATTAGACTAGTGTTTTTAATGATCAAATTTAACGATAGATAACGATTCAAGATAAAAGTATTACAAAATAAAACTTTAAAGATATATAAAAGCAAAATAAACCCCCCGGTACTAAGTGTTTCTTTATGGGTATTTTTGGGATATTTAAGTACATTTTCCCATACCAAAAATATAAAAGCCATACTGAAAAAATTAACTCAAAATTTCGAAATACTTAACTAAAATTAATATTATTAGAGGATATTTAAATACTCCTCCGGTCCTTAATATAGGACCCAATTGTTGAGTTGGTTTTAGTCCTAAATATAAGACCTATTTATTATATTTATCAATTTTCTCTAAATTACCCCTATGGATACTCTCTCAACCATAATCAAGTGAAAGAAGAAGATGGGTATTAAGAAAGATAATTATGGTGTTTTAGAAAAAACATGTCATATTTTTTATAATTAACCAACTTACCTAACTTCCTTAATCTAATCAAATTAGTTAAATGGATCTTATATTAAAAACCGGAGGAGTATCTTTTTTCCCTGATCAAATAACTACAAAGTATCTTTTGAGAATGTCAATAATTTCCTTTTAAGATACTCAAATAACATTTATCATTTGATATTTCCCTTACAAGGCACCCAAAAATCATTTCCATATTCTCCCCTTTACCAAAGAGAAACAGGCACCTGGAGGTCTACAGGTCCCAATACACATGCCAGGAATTGACACTCCCCAACATACAACAGGCTTTAACAAGCAGCTAGTTACCCTTGAAAACACTCATCCAGGGCGAATAATTATCAATTCAAATTCATCTTGAATTGAATAATCACTTGATGTGATGCTTATCTGGTTCTAAATCTAATAGGCAAAAATCTCCATGAACCTGCCCCCTCTCGAGGATTTCTCAAATAGATTCTGTAATACAATCATTAGGTTAGCGGAAGGAAGAAAAAGCTCATATATTTCATAACATGTTAATCCTTAGTATACATACAAGCCTCTACAACTCAGACAGAAGGAGTCGCTCGGATAATACATACTACATAACAGAAACGTGACTGAACTTGGAAAACCCCCCAGTTATAAACTGATACAATTAAAACTGGTCAAAATTTCAATGTATCTTGTTGTCTTTGTCTCCGCTACAAATTGCCAAACCAGATAAATCATGAGCCTCAGAAGCAACAGACTGCAGATCAGACCAGGAGTAAGATCGCCAAGGAGAAGTTTTAGAAGGTTTGGGAGGACAAGGTTTTGACGGATTTTCCGGTAACTTTTTTGCCTTTGGATGCAAAGGCGGAAGACAGGAAGGAGGCGATATTGATGATGATGTCCCCTCCTCACTATTACTACTGCTACTGGAGCTACTCAAAGCAATGCAAGATGCTCCTCGACCAAGGTTAGCTGATCGCTTCGGCATTCCTCCAAGATTAGATGCATAACTGCGGCTCCTGTTCATAAACATGCTATGAGCTAATAAATTCTTGCGTTTCTTGGCATAAGGGTCCTCCGGCTTTACTATGTCTTGGATAGAAGCAACGGATGTGGCATCTGACAAGCTTGAGTAGGACTTGGACTTGCCGCTGTAAAACTTGGAAATGCCTTTCCTGGATAACACAAAAAACGAAAAACATATGTTATGCAATTGATGCATCAAAAAGCCTTTTAGGCCAGTCTATTGCAGCTGGAGTTAATATTTTTTTTCGGATATGGCAAACTTTAGCTTCTTCAATGAACATATTTCCCGCCAGAAGAATAATCTGTGCTATTATTATCCTTACGAGTGAGTGAATAACTTGTGGACTAAAACGCAGGAATAACGAATGCCCCAATCACTAAGGGAAAATTTATGATTTCACAATGCCTCGTTAAAGAATAGGTGTGATCAAGCCAAAGTATAAATGAGGAAAGGAGTAAAATTTAATTAAAGATGGCCGTCTATTTGTTGCCCGAAAAAATAAGACAGCCAACTTTTAAAAGGCTTGAGTATAATGGAGCTGGCCAAAGACCACGAACACCTTACAAAGGCCTAATTGTTAGAGTGTTGGCTCACAGCAAAACAAAGCTCATATTTTATTTTTCCCAGACTTGTGAGAAGATAATTTTTTCCTTAAGAAAAAAGTTGAAGCCTTTATGAAAGTACTTGTACTTGAGAATGCCACAAAATTGAAGTATCAAAATAGTCAAAGGTCAACATCGTCAGCTTGGACATGACTTGCAAGGAGTCCTGTAAGTATTTGCTATCAGATTCTACGAGATAGCCTACACGTTGGAGGAATCCCCCCCCCCTCCAAATACATAATCAAGAAACGCTGTGCAGCCAAAATCCTACTAGCTAATGGGTACAATGGGAGGATTTTCTTTTATACAGAAAATTTATACTCATGGAACACTGCACGGTAAAAATATCTACAAATTTTGCAACAAATATCTAAAAGTTGCACCTAAGTTTTGTCAGGTGAGCATTGAGATTGGTTTTGCAAGATTTCTGACAGGAGCAAGTCATTCTTCTCAGTGACAAGTATAGGAACCAGAAAGCCTTCTAACCAAATAAGCATTTCTAAAATGGGCAGGAAATACTTATGCCTCTAAGCGGTTATAACCAATTCAAGATCAGTCTGCACTTAATCTAATTCAACCAAAGTCATCCAACCCCTGACCTTGTGAGAAACAGAAACTCCTGCATGGAGTGTTATGTTCTGTGCATTTATTCAGTTTAAAGTCTTAAGTCTTGAGAGAAACAGAGTCACAACACAAGTATTTGGCAAAAATGCACAGAACCTACTTCCACTTAGGGGCTTCCGTAATTCAATACTTAGCTTCAGAAGTAGATAATTGACTGGCCAAACTCCCAAGTTCATACAATTTATCCATTATGTTAGAAAAACCATTAAATTGATAAATAAAGTTTGCTGTGTTAGGTAAAACAAGCCACATCATGACTTGCTAACATGGAATCTGAACAAACAGATAGAACAAAAAGGTATTTTGGTCTCTTTTCATCCCTTTCCACAATACCCAATGGATAACATTCCAGTTTTGCAAACGTGACATTACCAAGTTTTTGTCTTTTTCATCGCATTACTCAACCAAGCACAGGCCTCCTCCTCTGCCTATTCTTCTTGATCCATTTCTTTTCTTTTAAAATAATAAATAAAATTAGGAAAATGAAAAAGACGGATGAGGAGATATTTTCTACTCTGTGCCAAGTAGGAGGAAAAGAAAGGATGGGGCTATATCTGCAACAAAAAAGGGACATTCTCTCACTCTTTCCTTCTAGGAGAATGAGCTTGAATCCTCACTTTCATTCTCACTTTCCGGAATCCTCCGTAATTAATGGCCACATCAATCAAACGAGAAATTGACAGCCAGCTAAGAAGGGTAAGAAATCCTCTCCAGAAGCTTATGCCAAATGGCAAATGGAATATATAGTTGTATACCCTATGCTACTCAATTTATGAGTTAGAAACGTATTGAGCTAGACCGTATGGCTGCCCTTAAAAAGAAGATAAAATAAAAGAGGTGAATAGAATATTTCCACCCGTTAATTAACCAGAATCACCAGTAATGCGTTAAAGGCACACAGTAAAATACCATCTATACATGCTAACATCTATAAAACAACAATAACTGCATTAATCCATGTCAAATTGGATAACTGCAGCAAACTTTGTTGCGTAGCTAAAACGAATGGACTGCACAAGTTGACAATTAACAGTCGGTAGGGGGCGTTTTGGAAGCACCCAAAAGTGCAGAATCGAGACAAACTCCTCCGCATATTTACTTCTGTAAAAACACTTTTAAAACCAGGTTTTGATTCCATCCAAACACCCCCACACAGTTGAGCATACGTTAAGACCAAGAGAAGACGAGAACGGTACAAAAAAAACGCGGGGCTAAAACAAGGTATAAAGAAGATAACGGACACCTCGAACTACTCTCCTGGATCGTACGTATTTTCTGTCTACTAACTGCATGGCAATAACTAAGGAATGAATGGCTACAAATCTAACCAATAAGGGTTTATCGAACAAAAGTGAACGTGGAAGAAATGAAAACATTAAGGACATGTAAACAAGTTTTTTCCCTCAAGTCTTCACCGACTATTATTCCAAGAACTCGAATTTATTAAGAACCAAGGGAGCATCAATATAAGGTAAAATACTAAAGCGGCAACAAATAGGCGAGTACATCGGGCTTCAATTACTAAGCTCTTGAATCGGCAAAAATCTAAATCACTAATTCAATGATACAATACAAACGCGCTAATATGACTAGCTAAAGGACAGGATATGAGATGTTGACAAAATCCCAGAAGAGTAAAAGGCACCAAAGAACTTACTTCCCAGGCAAACCCTCCTCTAAAGTATTTACGGTTTCCAGAGGTCCCTTAAACAAGCTCTGCGCCTCAGCCTCGCCGGAGTCTTCACGGTCGGAAGAATCTTCGGACGAATCACTGTTCCTACCAATCGAAGATGAGCTGCTGGAATCAGAATCCTCGTCACGCTCAGGGGAGAAGCTCCGATCGCGAATCGAAGTACAGGGCACACCGTGGGTGAAGTCGGATCCTGAGATCGAAACGCCCCCGTTGGATCGAAAAGCAATCGGCATAGTTAGGGAATCCGAAGAGAAGAATCCAAGCAGCGTGGCGCTAAAAGGGCTCAATCAGACAGCATTGAAGACGGAAGGGAATAGATTGAGATTATATATAGGCGGAGAGTAGCACATGGCAACAGATATCTCCCCTTTCACCAAAGCCCTACACAACTACACTGGATAAAATGTCAATAATGGATAGGATACATAATACTAGTATTACTTCCGGTATTTTGACTCATTTAAGTACCAATCCGGTCTTAAATATAAAATTTTTATACACATTAGTATAAGAGTTTTTTTTTTTACCAGCAGTATAAGAGTCTTATATTTAGAACAGGAAGAGCATATTATACTTTAAAAAATTAGTTAAATTAGTTATTTATAATAAATAAGTATTATGTTTCTTAAAATATCTTTGCTAATCAAGTGTATTAACTGGAAATACTATTATTATAAAGACTATCTTGAAATAAATAAATAAATATAAGAGATAAAGTTGATTAGATTTTTATATTTAGGACCAAAATAAAAAATCAAATAAGCTCTTATATTAAAGATAAGGGATAGTAGTATAAAAAATAGTTGACTAATTTGAGTAAATTAAAAAAAAGTAGTTATTCACCAAAAAAAATTAGTTAAATTATTTCTTTCTAATAAATAGTTATTGGATTTTTTAAAATATCCTTACTAATTTTGTGTATTGACTGAAACTACCATTTGATGAAACATTTTAACATGTGCAACTACTATAAGGACTATCTTGAAAAAAGTGATAAATATGAGAGATAAAATAGATTAGAGTTTTATATTTAGAACCAAATTAAAAATCAAACTAACTTTTTATATTAAGAAGGAGAGGTAGTATTATTATAAAATTCACCCATATTTTCAAAAAAACAAAAAAATAGTTTTGCCCTTATCACTTTTTACCAGCATTTTACCTTGCCAATTTTAAACTCCAAGAAGAAAAATAAAAGACCATTATATATTATTAGCCTCTTCTTGATATAAAAGTTGTATAACTAATTTGAATATATTAAAAAAAATTAGTTAAGTTGATTATTTGTCACAAATTTGTGTTAGTCTTCCTAAACTATCATCGTCAATAATATGCATTGGACTATTGGAATTATCTTTTGATGGAAACCTTTTACAATCAATAGAGATATATTGGAGAAATATAAGAGACAAAGTAAATTAATGTTTTATGTTTAAGATGAAATTCAAATTCCAACTAACTTTTATGTATTAAGGATTGTAAACAGTAATATCTTTTATGGTTTGCCTTCTCCTGGATTAAAAAATAGGGAATGATCAAGCATGCTGGTACTTCTCTTAAGGCTCTGTTTGGATAGCACCCCAAACCATGGTTTGGGGACCCAAACCATGGTTTGGGGAAAATGCTACCCAAACAGCCTCTCCAAAAACCAAAACCATGGTTTTGGGTCAAAACCATGGTTTTGACTCCAAAACCATGGTTTTGGAAAAAGCAAAATTTTTTTGCTTTTGGAGAAAAAAGGGAGAGTGTGAGGGCCTATATGATATGTATCTTGTTATTTTTTTATAAACATATTTTTTTATAAATATATTTAATCTTATATTTTATAAATATATATAGACATTAATTATTTATTAATTATATTATCTTATGTATTATTAATTATGTTGGTAAAAAACATATTATTAACAATTTTATTTCTTCAAATTAAAATATATCATAAAATCTATTTTTTCTGTAATTATTATATTAACTTATTTTTTTTTTTAGTAATTTGTATATATAAAAAGTGCTTCTGATAATAACTATCCAAACACTCTCACTTCTCAAAATCACTTTTTTACAAAATCTATTCTTCACAGAATCTATTTTTTCCAGAATCTATTCTCCAGAATCACTTTTCCAAACCACGGTTTGGTTTCATCCAAACACACCCTAAGATCATGATCTTTCCTTTTTGGAAAAAAAACATAACCATGTTCAACTTACTGTATCAAATATGAATCATCTCCATATCAGTTTTTTGTTAGCGCTAAGAGTAGGGGGAAATTATTTTCATTCAGCTTCTAGTGAACGAGAGAAAAGCTCAAACAGTTTATGCCATCATTAATTAGGGCGTATTTGGATAGAAATAAAATCATAGTTTTAAAAGTGTTTTTACGGTATACAAAATAAATAGGTAGAGGAGTTTGCCTCGATTCGTAAAAAAATATTTCTAAAAAATGTTTTTGGGTTTACCCAAACACCTCTTAAGAATGTAAATGAGGGAACTTGGAATTTTAGTAAAGAAGACGAGCCCATACCCTCTATTTAGGGCTTCTTTCACAGACGCCACTCCATCTTCGCCTCCCAATCCTTATCCAGCCATCTGAGGATCTCCAAGATCAATAAGGTCGCCTAACTCCTCTCCTTGATACAAAAATTTAAAGAGATTAAAAAATTAATTAAATTAGTTATTTGTTATAAACATGTATTGATTTTCATAAATTATCCTATTTAATCATATGTATTAGAATTATTGCTTGATGAGAACTCACTTATAATCGAGTATATTTTAGGGAAAAAAACATTGAAAATTTGAAAAACAAAATAGATTAAGGTCTTACATTTATAATCAAATTTGATATTTGACTAACTCTTATATCAAGAACTAATACTACCTTTAGTCCTAATTATAATAGCTAGTTGACTAATTTGAGGAGATTAGAAAAATAAGTTAAGTTAGTTATTTGTCATAAATAAATGTTTTTCCTAAAATATCTTTGCTACACAAGTGTCTTGACTAAAACTACTATTGTTAGAAGGACTACCTTAAAAAAATACACAAATGTGAGAAACAAAATGGATTGGAGTCTTATATTTAGAACCAAAATAAAAGTCAAATAGGATTTTATATTAAAGACTGGAGGTAATATAATTTTTCTCATTTTATAAACACACCAATACCCCAAACATGTGAACAGTGAGTTCAATTTCAGAACTTTTCTTCAAAGGCAATGGGGTTATCCTGTTATTGAGGGAGCAAGTTGTTTCCATACACAAATCACTAGAGAGTTTGTATTTTTCTTTTTTGCCAACCTACATGATGAGAGTCTGGTGAATAGAAATATACGAGAAATATGAGGGGTTGATTAAAACTTAAGGACAGAGAGAATAATTAGAAAAGAGGAGGGGATGGGTGGCGTGAAAAAATGACCTTATCCTGATCGGGTAACGGGCAAAGGCCAAGGTAAGGAATATTATCCGATTGCAATTATATAAATAATAATAATAATATTTTATATTATTATATTCTAATTCCATTTCTAAATTCTCTTTTCTTTTCTTTTTTTGGGTGAAGGAGAGGGAATCCGATGGTTCCAGTAGGTGCCAGAATACGTTGGACTGCCACCCGCCACGTCAATGGTTTGATTTGGGCCCTTCTTCATGGATCCCTTGTGGACGAAATCATCCGCCCCTATTGTTTATCACGTGCTCCATGGAGACAGTCTGAATGAACTTCGTTTTGAAAGAAAAAATAGATATTTTTTCAACGAAGGAAGCAAAATAATACTCCCTCGAGTGCTTAATGTAAAAATTAATTTAATTTTAAATATAAAATCTTAATTTATTTATTTTTTATATTTATCTATTTTTTCTTAATATAATCCTTGTAATAGTTGCACATGTTAAAAGTTTGATCAAATAATAGTTCTAGTTAATACACATTATTAGTAAGGTATCTTAAGAAAGACAACACATATTTATCATAAATAACTAACTTAACTAACTTTTTTAATATATTCTTTTTTTTAGTTGAATTTTATTAATCTATTCAAATTAGTTAATTAGCACTTATGTTAAGCACCAGTAGTAGCATCTCAAATTTACTTTTTGTGCCTACACTTTTTTCCATTAGGGGTGACCCTACAACTCACATAAGTTGAGATAAAATTTCTCTCTCGTGTTTGTATTTCCTACACTGTAAAAGTACTTCTAAAAAGCTAATTCAAATACCTCTATCTTATAATTTGTTCCCCATAAAAAAAAATCAATTTCTCTATTTTTTTTTGCCATCTCTAATTACTATTTAAGCACATAGATATCACACTTAGTTGGCATTTATTAAGTAAAAAAACAAATCAAAGGGCACTCTTAGTTTTAAAATTTTCATTTTAGTATTGCTTTATCCATTCAACATGTTCTATTTTACTTTGACTGCGTTTGAATTTCACACACCAGCATAGAAAATCAATGTCAACCCTATCTGACCTTTACTACAAATAATACCCAATAATAATTTCATAGAAAATTAAAAAAAAAAAAAAGCAATTTGTTGTAAAATATTGAAGTTATTCTCGATAAAAATCATTAGTTAAAAGTTTTTGGTTGATTATTTAGAAAGTTTTATAATTAATTAGGAACATTGAGCCGGAAAAAAACAATGCTTTAAACAAAATACGTTACATCATGAAACATGTTAAAAGACAGAAAATTCTTGTAGTAAGAAGCAATATGTTACCATTAAGAATGGCTTGATGGTATATCACTATTGTACGATCTCCTAGTTTCTACCGGACTTCAGCTTGACCAACGCAGTATTGGAAAAGTATTCACGCTCACTCATCGTTGATCATTGCCAAATCCATAGTTGGAGATGACATGGGAATACATTCTCCATTTTGTCAATTTGTGTTAAAAAAAAAAAAAAAAGAATCGATTTCAGACCTGCCTTTTATGTTTAATTTATCATCTAAAAGCAAAAGCGATAACTTTTGGCGAGTTGATGTTGATGTCCATTGTCTCACAAAGAGAACTTTTATTTTCAGGGTTTGACAAGATTTTATAATTTATTTTTGCCTGTGTTAAAATTTAGAGTCAAAGTGCAATTTTAACTTTAATTTTATTTCTTGAGTGTAATTTTGTTTTTTATCTCTTTACTGGGTAAAATTGCATCTAAGAAATAGGATGACAAGTAAAATTACACTACTAAAAAATTATGAACAAAATTATACTTGAAAAATAAGATCAAGATCAAAATTACACCTTAATCCTAAAATTTACGATGTAAATCATACCATTTACCTGGCTGATTCCATC